TGCGTCCACGTGGACACCAAGAGGAACGAACTTTGTGTGTTCTTCGCTTAAATGCGAGAATACTGAATTCTCTCAACTGTTTCAAACTCTCTATTCGCGCTTAAACGTGTTTATTCGCTATATTTGCCGTAAACGATATTTTTTATTCAAACATTTCTAAACCATATATTCTAACAATATTTGACAGAATATTTTTCGTGTATCGAAAACGATGTTTTATTAACATCGTTGTTTGTTGCATTTCTTCCGTTTGATGATAAATAAATGTACCCAAGGTGTTTCCGTTATCGTTTTGTCTTGCTTTTTTGTAAATAGTAAGCGTACGGGGAAAACTGAAGGAGGAAAAAGTTTTGACACGCTCTTAAACGAACCGACCTCGCCAACCATAATCTGAAAACAAAGAAACACGAGAGTAGAAAATTCAAATTGACATGGACCAAACGAAGCAAAAGCACAACCGACGATTTCCATCCATTCCGCTTCAAACGAACGATCACGAACACCGAGCAATGAGTCCGTTCATTTTAACGAGCGTCTGAAAGAAGCGACGCGGCCAACGGCAAATGGCTGATTATCGAGGCAGCTAGAGAATCGAGAAAGGCAAAAGGCAATTAGGTAACATCGTCGAGAGAGAAACGCAACGAAGAAGAAAAAGTAATTCGCCGTTGCCGATGGTATCGTTAAATTCCTTCGCTTCTCGCCATTCGTCGACTCGTCTTTTCATCTCGAGAGAACTGTGTTGTTTCCTTGGAAACATCACCGAAAAAAATCCACGTGGAGGATCGAAGACGCGTTTCTCGGTGCAAAGCGTATCGGAGAAACGAATACGAAATTTATCATCGCCAAGAAGCAGGCTATCCCCTCGATTTGCTGTTACAATTGCAGTTCGTTCAAGCACTCGTTCGCTTACAAACAATTTATTCAATTCCACTCACGACACCGACAGTTTCAGCAGAACGTCAACGTATCGTTCCACGAAACGCGTCCAGAGGGGCGGGCTACGCTTTAAACGGGTTGGAAATTCGAGAGCGAAACGACCGCTCAGGATTTGGTATTATTTCGGTAGCACCTGTGAATGACACGGTACAAAGAGCAAACGTTCGCGAGCCAGGTCATTTAACCCGCCTCTTCGAAACACCGTGGTGACTTTCAAGCGGTGGTAACCGCTCCAAACCACCCTCGAATCGTATACCTTGACACGTGCTTGATGCAACTTTGACGCGTTAGACATTTGTCGATAGGAGGGTACCGAATGCTACGTGGTCGAATTATTTCAGTATTACTTGGCAAAAAATTTGAAGCATCGTAATTTATAATTTTATTCATTCACCATGTTCGTAATCGTATTCGTTGTAATGTTAATTTCGAGGAGAATTTCAAAATTGTTTGTTAAATTTCTCAATATTGTCGTGTTCGATCGGAAAATCGTCAAAGTGAAATCCCCGAAACAATGTCGAACACCGTGATTTTATTTCCCTCTCGAAGCTAACGACGCAAGCTTACAGTTGGAAGACGTATTTCCTGTACGGTTTGTCGCGTAGCAATTTTCTAACCGCGAAAACCGATGTACGCTGCTTCGTTCTAGACACGAGCAACAAAACGAATGATTTGTGCGAATAATTGGACGCACAGCGATCCCGCGTATCGATCGTTACGACGATGGATAAAAATGTGAACTCGCGACCGTTTGTCCAGGCGAATTCGTCGACGTTACGGCTTCGAATGGGATGTTCCACGGTATAAACGAGCGGTCGTCGGCGGACACGGGTGCCGAGTAAATCGAAAGTCGAGAGAATTAGCGATGCAACGATAGAAGAAGCCTGGCTCGGTTAAATCGTTCCTTTAAATGTTCCTTTAAATGTTCCTTTAAATCGGACCGTGTATCGCGCGTTAGCCTTAGGGTGGTGGTAAATTTCCAAAATTTATGTTCATCAGCGAAGCAATTTGAGACTCGTTAGCTGGTTGAAACAAGACTGAAACGTACGAAGCGAATTTTAACTTCGATCTTTAAATGGAAGGTTTGAAAAAACCTCGAAGAAGCCTGGTAACTTGGCTTACATAATCTTCTACACATTACACGTACCATCGTTCGTCCATTTCCTTCATCCTTCCACACCTAACTCTATTTCTAATGTTTATTTCTCACTCTAACGAAAATACTTATTTCTCGTTCTATGTTATTCGTTCTATTATTATCCTGTTCACTCTATTTATTCTCTACTTTATTGCACCTACATTTCTCGTCTCCTGTGCTCATCTTTCTTTTCTTGCGCTCGGAATGCTCCTCAACCAATCTGCACCACTCGTACAACCTCTCTTCCATCTCGTACAACTTTTCCCACGCATAAATTTACTTTTTCCAAGTCTGCACAGTCCTTTAGTAATTGTAAGTGTTTCGTCGTTCTCATATTCCTTTCGAATATCCTACACAATCTGTTGCCCTCCTTCCTCCAATATTTATTTCCTTCTTTCATATTTCTGTACTTTGTTCGGGTCGTAAAGCTCTGGTTTCTCTGTGTACCATTCTCCTTTAAAACAGAGCGGGATGTCCACATCGTATAAATGTTTGTACATTCTGTTGTACCAGAATATCTTATTTTGCATTGTCACTGTCTTTCGTTTTACGTATCTCGTACAAGTTTTATTCTTTTATAGCGATGTAATTTTGCTCGAGATAGAGTCTGGAAAGTAAAGGTTCGTTGATTTATGCCTCTTCGATAGACTCGGGACGTTTCTCGACTCGCACGTGCGGTACAATCACGAGAAGCGAATGTAACGTGAGTTTAATGACGTGGTTAGGATCTGATGTAAGAATCGAAAATTAATCGAGGAATTTAAAGAGATCTTCGTTAAAAAATCGCGATTCATGTATGAAGCTTTTTACATACTTCTTTCTCTGTGTAATTTTCGACTAGCAATGACGACTAAAGAATCAAAATGCTCTATAAATTACCCTGAACAAATCGACTATTTCCTAACAAAACACGCTCACGCCTATCATTTCCTTTTTTTCTTTAGATTTCAAAAAGATGCCAGTGAGAAATCTCAATTTTGGACACCAAAGCCGAAGTGTATTAAAATCGTTTTTTAACAAAAATAATATTTTATTTCTTCAACGTCACAACGTAAAAATGCGCTCGTTCCACGCGTCCTTTTTCTCAATTTTGACGCGCACTGTAAAATTCGAAAAGCGTGGCCTAATGCACCGTAGCTTTGCGATTCGGCATCAGAACTAACATCGCAACTGATGTCATAAAATTAAACATTACATAAGAACTTCTTCCCACCTTGTAAATTATCTGGAAAAAAGAACTCTTCCTACGCGCAGTCCTATCGTTTGTTTCATTCGCCTGTCGTCCGATTTAATATTCCATTTGCAAAACCGCGCGCGGTCTTAACTGCTGCGGTGAAAACCTTCAGCAAGAAACCGTACTACCTCCATTAACGCAACTTCCATGCCGCAGGGTCTTCTCTTTATTTTTAACGCCGAACGAGATAATTAGTCGTTCTATTTGTACCGGGAAGCGTCTCGTATAACTGGACTAAAATCCTGATTGCTTTTTTATTCCCAGTTCTCGACGATAGTGGGGAGGTTGCTCGGGGACAATAGGGGTTGAGATGAAGCAACGAGGAACGAAGCTGTGTCATCGTGGCTTTCTTGCGGCCATTGAACGCTGATAAAGGCTAATGAGACTGCCGTACTTTGTCCCGTGTCACGGCTGTTAAAGTTTGTAACTATTGTTATGTAATTAGGGGAACAAAGGCTCCCTGTTCGACGATTCGATGGAATTTCCATTGTCAACAATACGGAGATACGGTTCTCCAACGATGAAACTAGCCGTGGTTATTTTACGCCGCCGAAAGTAACACGAGGCACGCGTTTGATGGTAATTTGACCATTTTGTGGCACAGCGCTGAGAACTTACGATCGCAATCTGGTCTTTGTAATCCTATCGATGAGATTTCATGGGAAAATACGGTGTTTGTATTTTATTTATTTCGCTATGTACACGTTTGTTTGTCCAGGCAACTCGTGGATGTAAGATTTAATAAACGATAATTGCGTATATAAATAAACGAAAAGTGGATTTCTGGAGAATTCGAGGGCATAAAATTCGACGTTCTATTAAATTTTGCTGAGATTGGTTGCGAAACCGATTCAAAAATCGACGATGTTTGCTGTTGTTCCAGTTTCGACTAGTTATGTATTGGAACGTGACAACGTTCCAGGAAGCTCGTGAGATTTTCTACTCCGCGGGGATGTTTATGCGCAGAGGCGCGGGTCAAAGCGACCCAGTTTCGAAACAGTCTTTTAGCGCAATCGGCCACAGCGTCCAAACCGATGATCTCTTGGGATAAAAACGACTTAAAACTAGGTGGCATTCTATTTGGTAGCTAAGTTACTCGGCTCCACGGTCGCATAAAACTTCTTGTTTACTCGGCGAAACAAAGGATCGTACTTTGAACGGTTACAAGCTGAATTACGACATCGTTTTTTATAACTATCGTTGCAAGTGAATTCAGTGGCAGAGATCTCCAATCCGTGTGTCTAACGTCGTACGCACTTGAGTTATGGTATTTCACGGTATTCCACGATTTTACTTTTTACGGGATATTTCGTGGAAAATTTTATGGAATATAACGTACCATAATAAAAGCTTTTTCGTAGTTTGCTCGCGTCAAAGTATTTTTCTTGAACATTAGAAAAGTACATTTTGATCGAAAACGATACAACGTTAATATTGACTTAATAATAGCGTGTATCGAGGAAAATCAATAAAAAGTTATCGTCGCACGGCGTAAGCTTCAAACGAATTTCCTATTTACCTTTAGCGATTCTTAAAAATACACGGTCGCTAATAGACGCACTCGATTTGTGTATTTAAATCCGTCTCGTTATAGAAAATTGCAGCGTTAAAGAATTTCCCAAGCATAAACTGTCGACTCGCGGGAGCAGAACCAACGTCCACGACATTAATCCTCTTCTTTTTTGTTGGCAGCCACGGAGGAACTCGGTAGCAGCATGAGCACCACCCTGCCGTCCGCACCGACCGAACTCTCGCAATTCCCCAAGCTTTGCGAGCTACGTCGAAAGTTTCCTGTTCTGTACCGCGTCGAGTTTCAGGTGAGGACGATAAATCCCTTTCTGCACCCCCTTCATTTCTTCGTCCCTCTTTGCCTCGCTGCTTCGATATTTTCCAGCCTCGTATCTCGCTCTCAATAATAACTTGAACGCGCAACACTGGAATCGTAGTTGTTCCAAATGTATCGTGCGATCGAAAGCAGTTTTTAAGAGGATTTTTCTCCGATTTCTTCTTTTCGTTACGAGAGATTCGAGATACGTGGGTAGCCAACCGACAAAGTTTACGCGTAATGCGATCTACTAAAGAAAATTCAATCGTCGATAAACCCCGGCTAAACGGAACTATCGACGATTTTTAAACCTGACGCTACGGTTTAAAGCGAGATATTGAAATCGCAAAGAGGACCATACACGAACGTGGAACGCGTTTTCTTGGCCGAAATTATGCGAGGCTATCGTTTCCAACGAGCAAACGTATACACGTAGACTATAGACTGTAGACGTTAGAGAGGGTGCAAAGTGCCTTAAGATAGGCAGACAGCCAAGACACGGGCGGCAGACGACATCTAGGAGACAAAGCGGTCTCCCGAGAATAGGTGGTGGAATCGAGTAACTCGGCTCGATATCGGTTTCTCATTAGACTGCCGTTTTGGTGCACGAATTCTGGGCCAGACATCCAAGAACAGTGGATGGCTTTTGCCGGTCGACAGGCTGGCGAACAAGACGAATCAGTTCGTGATAGAATCCTCCGTGAAACTTTCTTCCACTTGGCGATCACGTACAATTTCAACGCGTTATCAAATTTTTCTCGTTTATCGTTTCACCTATCGCGACGCGTTTCAATCTCCATGCATTTCGTTATAATTAAACGGATATTTATTCGTGTAAATTCGTATTTTAACGAGCGCAAGAAAAAAGAGTAGGATCTGGACAGAGATTTGCTTGACCTACTTAGCGTTATAACAAACGCTGTACTTTAGATATTTTATACAGTTTTCCATATTATACATTTCATGAATTTTTTCCATCCTTTCTCGTTCCTGGCTGTATACTGCAATTTATTATACCTTCTTTTCTTTTTATTATATACAGTTACTAATAGAAGTTTCGTTGATGCTGTACTTAAAGGATAAAGGGCCTGTAAGCCGAAGTTTCTATAATAGGATAGTAAACATCAAAGTACCTTTAGTAGCTTTGCGACCTATGCCGCCTACTAATACAATTTACGATACCATGATATTGGATATAAAGTTGGCGTTCAAAATGGAGTTGCGTTTAATTTGACATTCTGCTTGGCGTCCATACGACGACAGCGAAGAAGAAAGAGCTGTGACATAATACCGAAAGCCGCTAACAGATGGTAAAAGAGACGTGTTCCTATTTAAAATTCAAAGTATCGTTACGTGAAAGTAACATTTTTTAATTATTCTTACTCGATCGATCGTTTTTCTAATAAAAATACTATATACGTAACAACATACAGCCTACCATTTCAATCTTTCATTTTAGTCCGAATTTCTGCTTGGAACAAGAAATTTTACAATGCGAACGATGCTTATCGTCTATCGAATTTCACGATTATCAGATCAATCTTAAGATCTGTTCTTTGTTGATGGAACGAATTAGATTAAATTTTAGTCAGCATCGGAGGAACGATATTTCATTGTATTCGGTAGAGTTCCCTTGTCAGACTTGGCTCGTAAGAGAATTATCGAGATGACAGTGTCTAAAAACTCATTTGAAGCTCGCAATCTCCTCGATCATCGACGATTTATGGTCTCGTTTAGATTGTACGATGTACAACGATACACTATCGTCGATTGCCTTCCCGCCCGATCGGAACATCGTAATTGGTTCGACGTTTATCAGTGCACTCGCGCTCTTTCACGCTAGTCCATCGAATGCGGTTCGGAAGCTGCACAAGTGACTATTTTATCGTCCGCGATGTATAGTTTGAATCATCGATGCCTTTTTTCCAATTGTCAGCACGAACGATAGCTTCGAAATAGAGACTTTTAATTTTACAACGAAATTAATCTACGTATGTAGTTAATAACGTAAATCAGCTCACAAGTCGATCGATCTTTTTGACAGTAAAATGAAATATGTAAAGTGTACATTTATAAAGCTATTTTATAATAAATCGTTAATTTGTTGAAGATTATTTTCTATAGGAATCTTTGAAATTTTTGTTACGAATTGTTTTATACGCTTATTTTTATATCGTGTGCTCCTTTAGAGTTTGCTGATTGTTTTAAATATTTTTTACCGTCAGGAGTATTGCCAGAGATTGGCAAGGATTGAAAACAGTAATTCTTTACAGGCAAAGTGTATAGAAATTTCTTAAAGTTATTTAAAACCTTCGATATATTACAAATTTGTAATTATTTATGTAGTATCGTGGAAAGAAGGGTCTGTGGTGGCACTCGATAACAAATACCATCACTCGACACTAACTAGTGTCGAACGACGACAGCGCAGTGGTTAGCGCCTTAGGTTGCGAACGTTCGGAACCCGGGTGTTCGAATCCCGGCGACCGGAGTCCGATTTTTCTTCCACGATACAAAAAAAGAAGTGACATCTACAGCGCTAAGCAGCTCACGATACTATTATACATCTATCATAAACTATTGTACGAAGTTTTGGTTTTCCATGACTTTTTAACTTAAGACGTTCGATTTCTTCATCTTTCGCTTTATAATTCGCGATTACACCGGATTATTCCAATCGCGGAGCAAATAACGTTTCGAACAAAAAACACACACACACAATACACACATATCTTATAGAATTCGTAGCGCAACTAGAAATAACTGGAGATTAACGATCGTATATGCTGTGCAGCATACACGTGTATATGTGTGTGGTGAGTTGCAAACGAAATTTATGAAATTCGGACGCGATGTCACGAGTAATTCCGCTCGGTTCATTAATAATCGAGGAAGTTTAATTTAAACTTTGTATCCACTGCCAGCAGTGTCACTTGCGTGTCATTATCACATTTGTTAGGACAGGCATATACATCGATGCTTCCAATTAATATATTTTCCGAATAATAGAGCGAACATTGAAAAATTTATGTAATTTCGTTAATTAGCAAATACTCGGACGTTTTACCGTAACGTTATGAACGTTCCTCGAATTATCTTTTTTTCTAAAATCATCCTATGCGGTGTATATGAATTACGTTTGAATCGGATAATACGTTAGAGATTGGTAGTTGCTGTGTTACGAGAAATATTAACAAGAATTCATGCAAACTTCTACGGGTTATGAAGGATGTTTTAAAGATTTGTTTTATCTGTTTACAGACGGCAACGAAGGTGGAGACGCATTCGTGTAGACATGCCACGAAACCAGCCAACAAGGAAAAGAACCAGAACCAAAGGTGTATTCCTTGTAAGTAACGATCGTTCGACGTAGCTATTATTACTCGATATAATAAACTGTTTTTAAAATCAGCTATCAAAATATTCAGGAACAGCACCCTGACACTATAAACAAACGTACGATCTTCCATGATTTTTTCCTGGCAAATAACCAATATTGTAATAATTATAATAAACAATAGGCTGCTAAAATACAGCTTAGGTACAGCTGCCCTGACGTTACAAACAAATATGCAATTTTTCATGATTTTTTCTGCTAAAAAAGCAACGAACCTCGACGATCATCTAGAAAATTTGCTACCGAAATGAAGGAATAATTTTCTATAACAGTGCTGCGAATTTCTAGTTCGAGAATATTGAATAAGGAATACGAAACTAACGAAATTTACTTCTATATCTAGATAACTTAATATTTCGCTCATTTCTGTACACATAGCTCGAGACACAATTCGCTATTTCAAAGGTGATTCAGTACGTACTTCGCCATTTCATTAGAAAATTAATTAATTTCTACGTTCTTAGGTTACCGTTGCAAAGGCAATTTTACGGTAAATTTACTATTTCGTAAATATCGTAATTCAGTTACACGATCGAGTTATATAATTTTCTATATATACGAAAGGTAATTTAACGTTAAATTCACTCGTACACCGATATTTTACTATCAGATTCGTTTCCCTACAATAATTTAAACGGCAGTTCTTCGCGATAACTAATTATCCATCCTAACACTGAATTCAAAATTCCAAAGAAATCTCTACGTATTCCATCTGCGTACCGTGCGCAATTCTTACTTTAATTAATGTTTAATTTAATTCCAAACAGTTCTCGACACTTAACCCAAAATTTACGTAAAATAGTCAACGTTTAATACCAACGCAAACAACGTCGATTTTTTGCCGCACGAGAGGATACTTCGTCTTCGGATACTCGAGGATAATTGTTCGCCGTTTCTCGCCCCGCCGCGCTTTTATCCTACGAAGCTTTCGTGCGTACGAACACACGAACGTAGTATAATAGTAGGTTTAATTATTCGCCAGCAGGAAAAATTCTGGTCACGGTGGGTCCAATTAGGAAACGCGGTTATATTCGCGCCTCTCGTGCGCGTGCTTCGGAACAAGAACAGCGAGATGAAAGTTGCGAGAGCGACGAGGAAATTTTAGGGGCGAACTAGGCGTTTCGCGTACGCGCTGTCCTATGATACAGGCTGTCTGTTTCAACCCTTTAATATGTTGGATACAACTGCTACTCGTTGACTGGTCGTTGATGATCGTATTACTAAATATTTTAACGTAATTAATTAACAAAATAATGTTAATAGATAGAAGATGTTGGCAATTATTTGGAGTAGAGTACGTTTCTTCAATTTCGATGATCTTCGAATATACATATTTGGCAGAGATTTGCGTAATTTTTCCCTAGATAGTGGCTAGAAAAAATATTTACACATATCCTTATTTTTCGTAACTAATATCATTTTAATTTTAATTCTAATTTTTATTTTCGTAACTAATATTGAATTTCTATATTCGTACGAAGGTACCATTTTTTAGAAGTAAAGGAGGACTAGATATACAATTAATATATTTGCATCTCATCAATTAGCAATATTATAAATATTATAATAAATACGATGGTATACAAATAAAAAAAATTTGTGGTCAGTGTATATATGTTTCTTACACATGAGTTCTAGTTTTCGAGATCTGTATTCGTACGAAGGTACCATTTTTTAAAAGCAAAGGAGGAGTAGATATACAGTTAATATGCTTGAATCTCATTAATTAGCAATATAAATATTATAATACAAATAAAAAAAAATTTGTGGTCAGTGTATATATTTTTCTTATACATGAGTTTTAGTTTTCGAGATATACAGCGCAATTTCCATATTATATATTCAAGCTATACATTTTTGAAGGATTTAAATTAAATCCTTTCAGATTGCATTACCCATAATATTTACCAAATCATGCAACGAGTATCTTTTTTTTTTTTATTGTTTTATATTGTTTTACCTGCTACATATTAGAACGAGTATGGTAAATTTTCAATAAATGCATAAAAATTTGCATTCCACTAAAGAGTTATTCGAACAAATCCATCTGAAATAGACGCCTTGTACACACATACACAAGAGATGAACTAACATTTCCTCCAAATTGATATGGTTTCTCGTTTCCCTGGGTGAAAACGTTCGCTGGAAAAGTAATTTGACCAACTTTTTCGGGAATCTGTTGCATCAACCGAAAACCGACTGGCTTTCGTTTCATCTGTTGTTTAAACAAAACGGTTTTGTTACCTCGCCCTTTTTTAAGTTTTTTCTTCTTGGTTGATTACTAGAGAGAATTTGTACATTGCGAATTTGAAGTTTCAACGAACAGAAGCTATTTTACTTTGTTCAAAAAAGTTGTGTTACATGTTTTACGTATCTCTATAACGTTGTTAACGTTCGTTAATTTGATTTTCGAGCACAGATGACTACAACAGGGTGGTTTTGGATCCTGTGGAAGGCGAGCCTGACTCCGATTACATCAATGCCTCTTACGTAGATGTAAGTAGAATATGTCTGTACCGTTATTAGTAGACCTCCTTATCCTGGTTTCAAGCACTTTCCAAAAAGAAAAAGATCCAACCGATATTCTTATCTTTAAACTAGATTCTAGTTAAATTTTCTCCTAACTAAACTGAAACTTTAATTAAAGTTACAGAAAATTGTATAAAAATACCATCACTGATAATCGCGGGATAACACTGAGATGATATTGTAATTTATTATAGCCTTTCATTTCATCTAGAAGTTAGAGATTAAACCTTCCTTTAAACCTTAATTATTCGATCCTTAATTTTCGTCTTAATTTGTTTCTTGGTATCGCATCGACACGATGGTCTTACGAAACGATAAATAGTTAAGTTTAGAAATTTTTTATCAGAAAGAGAAAGAGAATGTTCCGATACTGTACGATACTGTATCTTAGAACCGTTCTAATTTACATTATTGTAATACAGCGTAGCATGTAGGATTAAGAAGTCGTAATGAATTGGCCATCATTCAAGTAGATGATGCGTCACTTTTTAAACCTATCGAAGGACGAGGAAATGATCGTTTTTAATGTTCTCACGTCGTGACTCGCAATATTAAAGATCAAGATCAAGGTTATTCGTGTTCCTTAGCTTCCAAGCACGAAATCATCTAATTTGAATAATCCATAATCGCAATTCCCGAAATAGATTAGCTACTTGGAAACGATTGCATCGTGACGTTTCCGCGACAGAAACGTTTTCTTAAAATAGTTTGTGTTAATTACGATAATACTTACGCTTTTCTTATCAGCCATACTTTAGACGGGATACCTGGCAGTAAAAGTAATCAAACGTCCGGATAAATCTTTCTTTCTTTTTTAATCATATTTTTTACTCCTTTTCGGCATAGAATTTCCCTTTTCGTATACAAAATTCGTAATTTTCTTTAACGTAAAAACTACGATCCAACAAGCGTACAGTGACCGAACAAAATTTTATTTCGTTCGAATTCGATTAAATTACGAAAATCTTTCTATATTTTATATCGAATAATCTGTCGTTATCCAAATGAAATTGTATTTCATCTGTACGATTAATATTTATGTTTTAGAGCATATTGAAACCGAACGCTTACATCGTGACACAGGGACCTATGGAGAACAGTGTGACGGAATTCTGGCGGATGGTTTGGCAGGAGAAAGCCTGCTGTATCGTCATGCTAACGAAAACCTTCGATTTCATTAGGGTAAGAATTTTAATTGATCGTCCTGTTATTTAATCGCCGGGGCTAGTTCAAGTTAGAGGGTAGCAATTCGCGTAGATTAACACGACTGACCGAACGACTGATATCTATTTGGGACATCGTAGCCGTGATAAAGGTGGTAGAAATTGGGAAACGTAAATTGCTTCGCGTAACCGTTTTAACGTTTTCGTTTTATCGACAGAGCTTTACGTTGTTTTTTTTTTCTTTTTATCTATTACCAGATCTCTGTTGTACGTACGATAATTTATCACCAACTAATAATATCAACGAATTAACAGATTATACGAATGGCGTTCGTATATTACGAAACACGCCAACATAATTCCAACGCGTGTATTTCTATTCGAATTTTATTCGAGATTTCTATTCGAAATACCACGGTTTCACGCTGTACGGTTCTCGCACAAGGTAACAAAATTGCGTGACAACCTTTTGACACACTACGTTCGATAAACGAAGAGATCCGCGTCATTGCGAAACCTGATGTCGAGGCTGGCTTTAGACTCTGGCCAGAGTCTAAAGAAGCCGTGCTTTTGCACGTGAAAATCGAGGATGAGCGAAGTAAACGAGTTTGGAAGTTGTTAGCAGCCACTTCGCTTAGCCTCGCCTCTTTGCTTCCATAATGATTATCCAGAGCGTCGAAGAAGCGGCGGTTTTCATCGGTTTCGCGAGGGTAGGTTTTTACCTTGACGTACGAAAAATAAGATTGGGTGAATCATAAAGCTTTTCGCGAGTTTACGTGGGTCGATTTATTTTACTTCGATGCATACAACAACGTAGGGTTCTGCTTTTTAACGAATTGCTACCTTCTTTTTTTTTTTTATAATTTAGACGTTAGAATTATAACATTCCGATTCCGCTAAGAATATACCTTTCTCACGCTATCTTAAAAACTTTCGTTAAAAGTTAATTTGTCGCTAAATATAAATACAATATTCGCGTGTTTTTGATTGTTAAATTAGGTTCTCTGAAATAATGACTCTTTAAATTCTTATCAAAGGTGATCCTTATCGATCCTTCGTTAATTTCAGAGGGTAAATAATTATAACGTAACTTTCCTCCATTCGTTGGTGCATCACTTTGATTTGAATTGGGTGTTTCCTGCGTTAAATTATCGTTACGAATCTATGGTTCAACGATGCCAGTTGAGAGTTACATTACACGTAATTTCTAACAAAGATATTTATTTAAAGGAGGGATGTAATTTACGACGTACTATCGAAGTAAAATAATCAGTCTATAAAATAGATCTGTGTAAACTGAACAAGAATTGATGACTCACGGTAGAAGATGTACAGCAGTGCGGAAATTTCGACTTTGTGGAAATTTATCGCTTCCCCTTCCCCTGCTTTTTTCAATGCACATGCACACAAGTTGGAAAATAAATTCATTACGTTATTTGTTTCTCATACATTTTTTGATACGACACTAAGCGTTTCGACACTAAGTTTCTCGCCTCCTCCAACTTTCATTTCTCCGATTATTTACTGAATTTTCTATGAAATATCTAAATATTTTCTTTTCGATCGATATCCAGATATATCTAGATTCTTCGTTTTTACGAATTCCTATTTCGCCAAATATTAATTAATTGTTACGTGTTTGAATATTTTCTTCTCGAACTACACGCGACATAATTTTATTTTCGATTCTCCCTTATTTTTTGTTTCTACCAATTCTTCTTATTCTCGTCAGTTTCTACCTTTCTTACTTAATGCTAACTGATCTTTTTTATCAAACATCCAAACGACTCTTCATTTTCGAGTGACATTCGATTCGAGCCTTCGACTTTCGCCAATTTCTATTTTTCCATCGGAGAAATAAATTTCCTATTAAATATTTCAATATTTCCGTTTTTAGGTCGTACTCGAGGCAAACTCAGTTTCACGAATCTCCATCATCTTTCCGTATACCCAATACAAATCTTGCCTCTCGCGATCTTCAAATATACTGCACCTCGTCCTCGCAAATTCTCAAACATTCGTCCTGAATGACACACGTACATTTTATCAAACTGTCCTATATGTACGAGCTATTTTCCGCTGAAACTACACATCCGTCGAATGATAACGAACATCGTACGAATCGATTTCAGGTGATGTGCGTCCAGTATTGGCCAGCGAGCAAAGACAAGGACGAAGAATATGGCGGTATCGGTGTTTCCGTGCTGAAGGAGGAAGAGCTGGCCAATTTTCACATACGGACGATAAGACTTTACAAGAAGAATAACAATGACGTGAGTGTTCTTCTCCTTACACAGGGTGAGCTATAAATCGTGTTATAAATAGAGCGACGAAGATTGTACGGCGAAAAATAACAGAAAAATCAAGAATAACAAAATTACGTGGGAAGATTTTTCGTTTTTCAGAGAAATCTACTTGTCTGACACGTTGTATCGTATCAGTTTTATACTTTTGCGAATATAATCGAGCAGGCTTCGCCTACCAAACATTATAATAAGTTAGGTTGTATATTTGTATATTTTTAAATTACTATTGTTTTGAAACGCATCTTTCTGAAACACGAAGTCCCTGAAGAAATTTTATTATTCTTGATTCCTGTCTTATTTTAACGCATAGAATTTCTTTCTCCATCCACTTGCATCGCGATTTATGGTCCATGGTGTGTACATTCTTGTCAAAGATTTATCGTTAGATACGTAAATCTTTATTTATGTACCCTTTGGCTTACAATAGAGTTTCTTGCCACCGATTTATCTCCGAAATCGTTTGATCTTCGACCTTTGACCTTCCTTTTTCCTTATCTCTATCATCCACCTTTTAGAATGTCCCTGATTTTCTCCGCTATCTGAAACGCGCTGTCTCGTCTGCTCTTTCTCGCAACATTTCGTTACCGCATCCTTTCAGCACGTATTTCCACGTTTCCTTTTCCCATCTACATATCCCGCGTTTCTCGGATCTATATGCTACGCGTGAAACATCGGCGCCAACAACATAATGTATTTTATACGTGAGTTTAATATTCGCAGCTCCTCAGTCGTAAATTGAACATGTTTTACGAATTTAAGTGGTAGACTGCGTTGAATGACGAAGAACGTTTTCCGCTTCCTTTTCTAAATAGCGCTTTAAAACTTTTCCCTTTTTTTTTTTATTTAGATTCGCGATAAATTACGAATTACTATTTCCTTAATCGTATTACTCTGGTCGGGTGTATGTAATCGAAAATAAAAATTATGCTTCGATGGATACCATTAAAATAAAATTTATCAAACAGGTAAACTAATGTATAGCGTATAGACAGAGTAACTGTGAGACTCAGGGAAATAAATAACGCGCATAAACGTCTCGAGACTGAATTTTTCTTCGACAATCCTGCGACCCAATTCCACGTGTTTGCATTTTTAATACGCTTCTCTATTCACTTTTGAGAAAATCTGAATATTTTTTTGACGATTATCCCATAGTAATTCGAATCTCTGATACCTCGTATCTTTGCATTCCTTCTCAGTAAATTCTTAACCCTTCGTGGCTAATATTCCGAATATTTTCAAACTTTATTCTTTCTATCGTTGTCACCTTTACTCGTATTATTTTCATTATTTTACCGTTAATAAACTGCGAATATTTGTACATTTGTTTACGCAAAAATATATGCGATACACGCAATTTATTTGAAATCGATTTAGCGTCCTGTATGGTTGTCGAGAAAATCACGCTTTAACGCGGTCCAATGTGTCGGCGATTCGCTTGCGTGTTTCAGAAATCAGAAAATTATTCGCGTCTTTCATGAGAAACGAAGTGGATTCGAATACGATAGATTTGAATTTTCCGAACTAAAGATGGGAGACGATTCAAAGACGAAAACAAAACGTTTTGGGAGTTCGAAAAGAATTATACAGCGTGGTTGGTAACTGGTGGTATAAGCGGAAAGGGGGTGATTCTACGCGAAAAAAGGAGTCGAAAATATAGAATAAAAATTTTTCGTTCGAGGCTTTGTTTTCGAGAAAATCGACTTTGAATTT